CCCCCGGGGAGTAGCTACTGGGAGTTGTGAAAGGGACCTGCAGCATCCCCTGCCCAGGTGGGGCTGCGGCCACTGTGTTGGGAGGGGGTCCCAGTGCCAAGTCCCGGTGCGGGGTCCCAGTGCCATGTCCCAGTGCCATGTGCCGGTGTGGCACTGGGCTGGAGAGGGCTCCGAGCCCTTTCTGGAGGGGGGTCCCAGTGCCATGTCCCACTGTGGCACTGGGCTGGAGAGGGCTCCGAGCTCTTTCTGGAGGGGGGTCCCAGTGCCATGTCCCACTGTGGCACTGGGCTGGAGAGGGCTCCGAGCCCTTTCTGGAGGGCCGGGGTGACGCGCGTGGCCGGGCCGGTGCTGGCTGTGCAGGGTCACTGCGGGCGCGGCGGAGGGAGAACCGAGGAGGCGAACGCCCTTTTCTTTCCGTCGCAGCGTCCGTTCTGCCCGCCTCGACCCGCGGGAGCCCGGCGATCTCGAAGGCAGCTGCGTGGAGAGCGTTTTGAGAAGCGTGAAATTCCCATCAGGATTCTGGTGGTTTGTTTAGCTCGCCAGCACCTTGGAGACACCTGCTCATCCTCACTAAGGCTGGAGGGAAATACCTGTTGTTCTTAAAATTTAAACTTCCTTTCTTAACAAGTAGTTTAAGAGAGGAGCACAGAGCTATGAAGTAGTTTAGAAAAGGAGAAAAGAGCCAGCAGTGTTATGAGGACCTGGATGCCCCAGTCTCTCGTGTTCCTGATCAGAGTAAATTAAGAAGTATTTTCTTAGCATCAGCGATCATTGCTAGACCAGGTGGAAAAAAGCATCAGCACATTTGAAAACCCAATTCCTCATTTTACTGACATCCATAGAGTTATAAATTCTGTTCTCTCCGGCTTCCTCGTTCCCAGGAGCGAGCGTTGCCCGGGTGCTCTCTCGTTTTGTGTTTCAGGACGGCGTACCGGACGGGCTACAGGCAGGCGTACGGCCTCGGGTACCGGACCGCGTCCAGGTGCTGCCCGGGATGGTCCCAGCGCGGAGGGGACGCCGGCTGCCTCCACCGTGAGGGTCGCGCAGCTCGGGGGCGATTCTGCGCGCGCTGCCCT